TAAATAACTTAAGTCGACCTAGTTGACCGGTATTAAAAACCCCAAAAAATACTTTTTTCAAGGTTGTACCATTTTTAAGGATCGTTCATTGTGTTTTATGTATAAAATTGAAAATAAATATATTATTGAAAAAACGATTATTTATACACACATATTATATAATTTTTTTGTTTTCTAGAGTAAAATTGTTTTGGAATTATTTATTCTCTCGAATATATTTAGTTTTACAAACTTACAACTTTCACTGTCCGAGTATTTGTACAGTAAAATTGATGTCCACAATGTAAGTACGTTGTTTGCTGTGGCACTTTATTATCAAATCAAAGAACTCGAAGTCAAATCATTCAATTTTATCAACATTCATGCTTTGGACGTAGTGGAATCTAAAGATTCTCTTTCTTTGACGCCCGTAATAATAATAGCTTATTAAATATCAGTATTGCTCGAGTTAGGTAGCCAGTTGTGACAAAACTTTTTTTTTTTAGGAAGCATTACTTTTAATTCTCAATCGTGACACGGCGTATGATAACGAATTGGATAAATTCCGTGCGGTTTGTCGCTGGATAAAAACAAAAAAAAAACGAACTTGATCCAGTATCTAAAACCAAAATTTTATCTGCAGTCAGATACCAGCTTATGAATGATGAAGAACTGTCTGAAGTTAGGCGATCAGAGCTGGTTCGATCGGATAGAAATATTTTGGATGTAATAAATTTGAGAATAGACTCCCTTCCACAAGAATATAATGATCGAGGACGATTAGGTATGCCTAATGCAATTGTTTCTTTAGTAAATCATGTTTATAGTACCTACTTTATTCTTTAGAACCCAATGTGAATTTCGCTGAAGATACTCCAAATGAGATTTCTCAAATTGATGACGGTACCATGATCATGTTGAACCTTCCATCTAATATAAACTTTATTGAAATGAAGTTAAACGACGATCTAGCAGAGTATGGTTTTACATATCAATATTTCTAATCAAAGATTTAATATTATTTTATTTAAATTAAAAATTGAACTGAAATGTATTTTTATCAAAAATATTATCACACAATAATAATAATTTTGATGAATTGAGAATTTAATTTCTTCTTCTTCTTAGGTAAATCGGCCACTAGAACCATCCCAAAATACAGCCTTGCCTCCAATTTTCTCTATCCGATGCCTGTATCCTTCAGTCTAAGATTCCTTACCGTTTTCAAGATACTGGATTTATGGAAGAGCGTTTCTAATTCATCGGTTTGTCTTTTTTTTCACGCTCCACTTATCATGTCATATACAAAAATCGTTCGTAGTATTTTTCTCTCCAGGACTAAGAGTTTTCTTTCATCACTTTTTCTTAGTGGCTATGTCTCAACTCCATAAGTAATTACAGGTCGTAGTAATATGATTTGTAATTATATTTTCAAATCCTGATTGAATCCTGGTGTCTCGTCTTCCTACGGTCATGTATTCGGCTATGTCTTCATTAATATGAAGTCCAATTCTCAGTGCAGCTTTATCTAGCCGATATAATAAAGATCTTAATCCGTCTTGTGATTCCTCCGTGATCACCAATCTATAAATAAGCCAGAAGTCCTATGGACGATCCCTGTAATTAACCTCCTTCTTGCGGTGTAATATTCATCTCCCTTACTAATTTATCTATTACAATATTGAATAAGTTTGGTGACGTAGCGTCCCCGTGTCTTAAGCATGATTTAACCGTTATTGGGTCCGAAGTCATATTTCCTACTTTAACTTTGACAGTGGTTTCTGATGTCATTTAACCATTCTTGTCTTGCTAGTTTTCTTCTTTGTACTGCTTCTTCACATATCCTACTACACCACCGTTTTACCTTTGATATTTTTTTCCCTTATACCTTTGTTAATACTTTACTTACAGTTTCTTTAACAAAATTTAATTAAAATAATTTAATTTATTCATAAAAAAAATATCAATATTTTATTCTTATATTAAAACATGTTGTTTATTCAGTAAATAATAATTTATAAATAATTGCTTCAACTTATTTGATTATTTAGTTTTTACACTTATTACATTGAAGTATCAACGGATAAGCTCGATTGGTTGCGTGTAATAGATTATTCAAATTATCACTGTCGGTCAACTCAACGTTTGTGGATTAACCGAATATTTGTTCAATACATTCGAATTGTTTGTACCAATATCACTAGCAATAAGACTTTTAACTTTTTGAAAGTCATGTACAATACGGATGATTTGCACTTGGTGGAAATCAAAAATGGATTTGTGGGTAAGGAAAATACGTACTTATTCCTTGAATAATATAAAAAAATATGATATTTGTCTAATGAGCTGATTATAATTATTTTAGCTCCGAAGTACGATATTGCTTTACCATCTTTGCATTGGGCTGTATTAAACAGTGATGCAGAATGTATACTGATTCAACTCGCCCAACCGTATATGCTTAGTTCAATGGGGTAATCGTTTGCATATCATTTAACTTTTACTTCGGCTTCTATTATTTAAAAAATAATTTATGATTGACTATGGCAATAAGATCAGGATTATATTAGTACTATAATTATTTATAGGATTCTGATTAACGATGGCAACATCCAAACCTGTGGTTATACTATTCATGTTTCGGTCAATAATGAAGACTGGGAACAGATAGTAGATAATTGTAAGAATCCGGAACAATCGTGGCAATTTGATCCCACGCTAATAGTATATATACGTATTACTGCCATTCGCACTTCAGAAAATGACCAAGTAATATTTTTAATCTAAGAGAGTTTTTTTAATCTGTTAAAAACTTTTTTTTTTGTAGCTTTTTGAAAGTGTTTATTTTGAGGCACCTGCTGAAGCATCGCTAGATTCCTACAGCTCACTAAACTTTGTGTTCCATTCGTTAAATTTGTTTTGATTTTTAATTTGATTCCAACTCCACGCTAAAACTGTCTTGGTCGATATTTTATTTTTAGGTCGTCAATAACGCCATCATTCACTAGAAGGCCTACTTCTATAAGGATTTTATTGTTTTTTTTTATTTATTATTATATGTATGATTTTGTTTGCTTAATAAATAATTTATAACATTCAAATAATTGTTCAAATATGACAAATGGCTATATATTATTTTATAAAATTATGGAATGTCAAGTCTCATATATTATCAAATATACATGAATAATTCTTATTAATGCTACCATAGTTATAAAATTATAATACAAAATTAGGCATACTTATACTTTTAAACTTATCGTATGGACCATGCTAATACATAAAAAAGAATGAAGTGTTCCTACTAGGTATTTATACATACAGATAATTTAAATTCCCTTTTCTTAGTCTACGGACTTTCTTTTTGACCAGACAATATTCCTAATTTAATGTGTTAAAATAAGTATATATATAGATAAATATGTAATTCAATTACTTATGATACCAAACAAAACATTAAAAATAGAAAAAAAAATCGAATAATTAACATTAATAAAAAAAAAATTATTTTTTAAAGTTCATATAACTTCTCCATTATTTATTTAAACACCTATAAACTTTTCAATTGATTCTACTGCTCACGCGAATTAAAAAAAATGTTTTTAAAAATACTGTGGTAGCATAGAACTTTAGGATTTCTAAAATATGTTCTTGACCTACCATATTCCATTTATGTTAAAAAAAATTACATTTTTCCTGTTCTCTTCTTACTCGATTTAGAGCACTCCAAATTGCACTCAAAATTTCAAATCTTGGCCCTTTTGGAGTTAACGGACCTCGATTTTTACAACTTATCAGTACAGCCGTTTAAGGCTTTCTAAGATTTATACTAGAACTTGTCCATTCTGGACCTTTAATGAGGTGTTTTGTACGAAAATTCTTCCACATCCTTATGACGTCGACCACAGTCTACAGTTCATCCGCCTTTACAGCCAGTTTCCCAACTCTAGGACAAGAGAGTACCCTTCTCTTGACGGCTCCTCCACCCGATGCTGTTGGTTGACAAGAGTTGGATCACTTATCCCTCCTTATTTAATAATTAATTATTATTTATATATTATTATTTATTATAATAAAATGCTGAACTATTTATAGACTAAAAAAATTATTGTTCATTTTATTTTTCAATTATTATTTTATTATTTATTTAAACTATTTATTAGGGATATTGTTTAGTAAGTATAAATAGAAATATGTGGCGAGATGTATGCGTAAGCTAGGAAAACCCTTAATCACGAATTTATTATGCAAATTTAGACAAAATGTGGACATGTCTAACAATATAGCAGAAAGCAGCAAAATGTGTAAAGTTTTTTTTTGCTCTTGTAACTCATACTTAATAGAAAAACAAACATTCGGCACACGATATACTTCGGAACATAACTAAAAACATAAAAATTTTTATAGAATCTATCTATAAAATATAAATAATTGTAAATCATCTGAAGCAAAAAAATTGCTAATAAAATATTACATACCTGACGTCGAAGGTTTCATAGTTCAAAAATGTATAATTTTGATAACATCTCATAATAGAAATAAAATGGAATAATAATAATAACAAATAAAACATTTTTTTATCGGGGTGACTCGTCGATATTTGCCCCACTGACAGGAGCTGAGAGTAGTGCAATATTATCATATTTTGGTCGCGAGCAATAAATTAACCATGTTACTAAAATAGCGTGACCTATTTGACAGTGTTATCGTACAAACAAAAGTAATATGTATAATAAGGTAATGTTACATGGTGCTAAATTTTTCGTCGTTTAAATTCAAATTTATTTTTTGCCAATTTTGGAGGTTTTTTACTCCAGTCACACAAAAAATCTATACCGCTCTGTGTACACAATTGTTTGTGAATAACCCTATCATGTGTACAAAATAAATAGTGCCCTATTTTCAACAAAACAAAATATACCGTTCGTCTTACAATAACTATGGACGGTGCATTGTTCTTTTATAAGTGATTTGTACAGAGTTCATAAACCATATTACTCGTATAACAAAATTATGTTTGTTTACTTTATTGCACTCATCGTTTTAATATCAACTCCAGGTATGTAATATATTAGATACACTTCTACATAAATAATTGTCTTCTTATGATCGAAGCATAAAGTCTTAAGCGGTAAGTTCTGAATACAATCATAGAAATTATCTTAATCTATTCGGGCACTAAAAAAAGGCCCAATAAGTTTTCACAAATATCCTTCCTGACTAGCTATAATATTTAAGATAAACTCTAAAAAAGAGGCTAATTGAAGTGGAGGCTAATTAGATGTTTTTCAACAAATTTATCGGAATATTTTCAGGCTTTGTCCTTAATTTTATATTGAGTGCTTGTATTGTTAAATTTCTTTACATTTATAAAACAACGCTGCACTCGCACAAAAAAACTATCATTATTATTTTATTTAAAAAACTAAAAAAATACTAAATCAAATAACTGGATGCTAAGTCATGTTGTAAAAAACTATTCAAATTCGTTTGTAAAATCTGTTTTTTTTTAGCATTTTCTTGTCTTACTGAGCATGCGTCGTCTTCGTCGAATCCGGTCGGTTGCGAGCAAATAGATCACGCTAGCCTAATGGCAAATGACTATAGCCAGCTGTATCAAAACAAAAAGTATGTGTTGCACTACGATATATTATAATATATGTATATAAAATTCAATTGGATGTAAAGAACTGATGATTTTTAATTATAAAGAACATTAAATTGTATTTTATATTTACAACATTACGTGTGCGTGCCTAGAGTAGTAACAATGTATGATAACGTATGACAAAACTGTAATATTGTTGTCTACTATAATAATTAAAACTGGTAAATTAAAATAATTATCACAAAACAAATCATACTAGATATAAAATGATCACTTATAAAAACAAATAAAGTAATAAGATACAACAAGATTGAAATAAAAGATACGGATATTCAAACCATACAAATTATCAACAAATAACATAAATATCTCTTAAGTTTTAATATTCCCCTACCATGTTTATTTACTGTTTCATGCTGTTTAAGAATAATAGGAGAATTTGAATAATTAGTTTCCTTACTGCAATTATCATCTAATGACATCAATATTTTTCAACATAGACTTGATGATATGATTTTTATTTCTCCAATACCATTTCAGCTTGTATTTCATAAGACCTAGGTTGTGTACGCACACATTGATGACCAGTTACAATGTAAATTATTGTAATGGTAAACCTTACTCTTCAACAATGTTTTCCTTAATCCTCTTTATGGACAGTTTGTCCATAAAGATATCGATGTTATCAATAAAAAAATGTATATAATAAAAATGATTGAGAATAACGGATTAAAGTAGGCTTACTTATCAATTATTTATCATAAATAAACTCATAATCTTCATCCCATAACCAAGATGAGTGTTTTTTAAGTAGCGATGAAATTAAGGTAGGATTTCTATAGTCACGTGCTAGATACAAATCATGACTATAAACCTCCTTGATTATGTTTAATTAGGCATTAGCTATTGCCGAAACACTACCAGTGCAAAAACCACTACTATAAATTTATCTCGGTACTTCAACGAGACATGTAAATGCTCTTTCATGGTTGCAGACTCGGCTGAAAAACTTTTTTCAGTTATGTGCCAGAGCAAGGAGATGAAAGAGTCAATAAGAATAACAAATGCATAAAAAAAGGAAAAAGCAGTTTAAAATTCTGTAATTAAATTATAGATAAAATTTTTAAAACTTTTAATTGAAAATATCGAGATTTTTCCAGAAGAGCTTGTAAATGATCTTCTATAAGGGGGGAGGACGCCTTAGGGCCTTAGGGCTGCACAAGGATCTGACGCCATGGGTAAATATGCCAATTAAGGGAAAAATTATGTTCATGATATCCCGGGCACCTGATTTAAGGGTAATGCGCCGTTTATCAACTTTTTTTTCGAATTGCTCTGTATCATTTTTAAAGAAATAGTATTATACCAAATCTATTATTCATAATTAGTATTTATAAGTACATTAATAATATATTTTAATATTAATTTTAGGAATGCTGATGTTATTTTAGTTGTAGATAATACACGATTTCGCGCACATCGTACTGTGTTAGCCTCAAGCAGTGATTATTTCAGGTAATCAAATCTTATCATTTAGTATATTAATCTGTTAGTAATGATACCTTAATAAGCATAACATACAAGCATTTTGTCAATTTTATTTAATAGTTGTGCTATTTTTTCACGGTACCACTAATTTCCTAATTAAGTAGCCTAAATGTATTTGAAAAAAAAACAGAGATATTAGGTGCCTTAAGATTTTTAATGTTTCGTAAATTTTATACGAAAAAGGTATAATGATTAGTTTACTTGCATAATATAAATTGATTTTATGGACGTTATCCAATAGGTATATAAAATGTTAAAACTGATCGAAAAACTTTTTCATGTTAATCAATATGATACAACTAACTGAAATTAAATGAGAATAAATTTGAAATTAATTTTAGTGTAAAAGCACATTTGTTGTATCCTTTACACGGTTCTTTACTACTTGTAGCGAACATATGTATTGCATTTTTGTACTAATATTGTATTTTTTTTTAGCGCATTACTGTTTGGAGGTCATAAAGAAGCCCGTGATATGGAGGTGCCAGTAAAAGAAGGAACAGCAGCCTCAGTTGAAGTTCTTCTTCGGTATATTTATACTGGTCGAATAAATTTAAGTATACTAAAGGTAAATAACTTAAGTCGACATAGTTGACCGGTATTAAAAACCCAAAAAAGTACTTTTTTCAAAGTTGTACGGTTTTTAAGGATGGTTCATTGTGTTTTATGTATTAAATTGAAAATTAAATATATTATTCAAAAGACGATTATTTATAAACACATATTATGTAATTTTTTGTTTTGTAGAGTAAAATTGTTTTGGAATTATTAATTCTCTCGAGTGTATTTAGTTTTACAAACTTACAACTTTCACTGTCCGAGTATTTGTGGAGTAAAATTGATGTACACAATGTAAGTACGTTGTTTGCTGTGGCACTTTACTATCAAATCAAAGAACTCGAAGTCAAATCATTCAATTTTATCAACATTCATGCTTTGGACGTAGTGGAATCTAAAGATTCTCTTTCTTTGACGCCCGTAATAATAATAGCTTATTAAATATCAGTATTGCTCGAGTTAGGTAGCCAGTTGTGACAAAACTTTTTTTTTTAGGAAGCATTACTTTTAATTCTGAATCGTGACACGGCGTATGATAACGAATTGGATAAATTCCGTGCGGTTTGTCGCTGGATAAAAAAAAAAAAAAACGAACTTGATCCAGTAGCTAAAACCAAAATTTTATCTGCAGTCAGATACCAGCTTATGAATGATGAAGAACTGTCTGAAGTTAGGCGATCAGAGCTGGTTCGATCGGATAAAATTATTTTGGATGTAATAAATATGAGAATAGATTCTCTCCCACGAGAATTTAATGATCGAGGACGATTAGGTATGCCTAATGCAATTATTTCTTTAGTAAATCATGTTTGTAGTAACTACTTAATTCTTTAGAACCTAATGTGAATTTCTCTGAAGATACATCCAAAGAGCTTTCTCAAATTGATGGTGGTACTATGATCATGTTGGGCCATCCATCGAATATAAACTATATTGAAATGAAGTTAAACGACGAACTAGCAGAGTATGGTTTTACATGTGAATAATTCTAACTAAAGATTTATTACAATTTTATTTTAATACAATTTTGAACTGAAATATATTTTTATCATAAATATTATCATACAATAATAATAATTTTTATGAGTTGAGAATTTCATTTCTTCATAAGTAAATCGGCCACTAGAACCATCCCGAAATACAGCCTTGCCTCCAGTTTGCTCTATCCGATGTCTGTATACTTCAGCCTAAGCCTCCTCCTAACGCTTCCACGTCGTTCCTTACTCCCTAGTTCTCCCATTTCAGTCGTGGTCTTCCTAGCGGTATTTTTCCAGCTGGATTTTGTTCTAGAATGATATTATGCTTATGAGTGGTTTGTGGCTATGCCAAGCATGCTCAGCCTATTGTAACCTATTGTTCCTTACCGTTTTCAAGATACTGGGTTTATGGAAGAGCGTTTCTAATTCATCGGTTTTTCTTTTTTTTCACGCTCTACTTAGCATGTCATATACGAAAATCTTTCGTAGTACTTTTCTCTCCAGGACTAAGAGTTTTCTTTCATCACTTTTTCTTAGTGGCCATGTCTCAGCTCCATGAGTAGTTACAGGTCGTATTAATGTGATGTATAATTATATTTTCATATCCTTTGAAAGGCATCGTGATCCTAGTAATTTCGCAAGACCAAAGACTCTATGGCATAGAGGCATTTATTTCCTGACGGAATTCTTGCTCCTATTTCTTTTTTGATTTCATTTCTCTCTGACAGTATTGACCCTATGTATTTGAATAGATTTGTTATTTTGAAATTTCGGTTGTTGACTTTAAGATTTGGATGAAATCTCATGGTGTCTCGTCTTCCTACGACCATGTATTCCGTTTTGTCATCATTAATATGAGGACTTTTAGTGCTGCTTTTTCTAGTCGATAAAATAAAGATCTTAACCCGTCTTAAGATTCCTCCATGATCACCAAATCATCTGCATAAGTCCTATGAACGATCCCTGGAATTTAACGCCTTCTTGCGGTGTAATATTCATTTCCCTTATTAATTGTTATATTGAAAAAGATTAGTGACATATCGTTCCAGTGTCTTAAGCATGATTTAACTAATATTGGGTGCGTAGTCATATTTCTTACTTTAACTTTGACAATCGTTTCTAAAATGCTTATTTGAACCAGTTTTATTAGCTTGTCCTGGAAATGAAACTCTCTCACGATAATTATTAAGCTCTCTCTGTGTATACTATCATATTATGCCTTATTAAAATCTATAGGAAGTACGTGTATTTATTCATCGAACTCCCAGTTATTTTGATAAATTTGTCTTAGAATAAATATCTGGCCCGTGGTCGACTTTTCTGGCTGGATAAGGTTGAATTGTATAGTATTTTTTTAATTGTATGTAATTTGTTCAATAAAGAGCATTGGCGACCCGGGGGGAAGTAATGTCCGCTCAGGCAAGTACCCCCCTGGAACGCAAAGGATGCAAGTGTATATATAAAAAAAAAAAGATTCTTTACAATTCTGTTTTTCTCGGATTTCCTAATTAAAATAAAAAATGTCAACTGGTTCTTCACAGTTCAATAACTTTTTAATGTAATCACCCAACTTCTTTACCAACTCTTCGTAGTTGTTAGTTGTAGTTATTAGGAAGTCAAGGTTATCCCTTAGAAATCATTGAGTTGGTGTCATTTAACCATTCTTGTCTTGCTAGTTTTCTTCTTAGTACTGCTTCTTCACATATCCTATTGAACCACGGTTTTGCCTTTGATATTTTTTTTCCTAATACCTTCGTTGTTGCTCCACTTATAGTTTCTTTAACATAATTTAATTAAAAGAATTCCATTTATTTACAAATAAAGTATTAATATTTTATTCTTTTATTAAAACTTGTTGTTTATTCCCTAAATAGTTTTTAAATAATTGCTTCAACTTATTTGATTATTTAGTTATTACACTTATTACATTGAAGTATCAGTGGATAGGCACGATTGGTTGCGTGTATTAGATCATTCAAATTATCATTGTCGGTCAATTCAACGTTTGTGGATTAACCGAATATTTGTTCGATACATTCGAATTATTGGCACCAATATTACTAGCAATAAGACTTTTAACTTTTTGAAAATCATGTACACTACGGCCCAATTGCACTTGTTCAAAATCAAAAACGGACTAGTGGGTAAGGAGAATACGTAATTATTCCTTGAATAATATAAAAAATATGATATTTGTCTAATGAGGTGATTTTTTTTTATTAGCTCCAAGGTACATTGTTGCTGCACCATTTATGGATTGGGCTGTATTAAAAAATTATCCAGATTGTGTACAGATACAGCTCGCTCAACCATATGTTCTTAGTTCAATGAGGTGATCGTTTACATAGTTTTTAAATTTTACTTTGGTTTCTATTATTTAATATATTATATTGTTTGTGCCTGGAATACAACTTTTTGTTATTTAAAAAAAAATAAATGATTAACTCTGGCAATAATATCAGGACTATATTAGTATTACAATGTTTTATAGGTTGCTGATTAATGATGGCAACAGCCCAACTTGTGGTTACATTATTCATGTTTCGGTCAATAATGAAGACTGGGAACTGATTGCAGATAAATCTAAGGAGTCTGCACGTTCGTGGCAGTTTTTGAAATTTGATTCCACGCCGACAGTGTATATACGTATTACTGCCGTTCGTACTTCAATAATAGAAGATGTAATATTATTAATAAGAGTGTTTTTTTATGATGTTAAAAGCTTTTTATTTTTTGCAGCTTATTATAAAAGTATATATTGAGGTACCTGCTCAAGTATCGCTTGATTCCAACGCCATGCTAAAACGGTCGCGATCGATATTTTGTTTTTAGTGCGTCAATAGCGCCATCATTTGCAAAAAGGCCTACTTTTATAAGGATTTTATAGGTTTTTTTACATCTTATTATATTTATTATTTTGTTTGCCTAATAAATAATATATAATATTGAAATTATTGTTCACATATGACTTATGGCTTTATATAATTTTTTAAATATCTCAAGTTTGGTTCACGTATACACCCATAAATGATTTTGGATCGAGATTTGACAAGAAAGTTGGTTACACGTTCCGTTAGTAGACTTTTAAATCTATTTTCGAACGAATACCGTGCTTATGGAATGTCAAGTCTCATGTATAATCAAATATACATGAATCATTCCTATAAATGCTACCATAGTTATAAAATTATAACAAAAAATTAGGTATACTTATACTTTTAATCTTATCGCATGGACCATGCTAATACACAAAAGAGAATGAAGTGTTCCTACTAGGTATTTATACATACAGATAAATTTAATTAAAGAGGCCTCCAAAATGGCAAAAAATTTAATATCATAAAATGCTGAACTATTTATAAACGAAAAAAATTATTGTTCATTTTATTTTTCAATTATTATTTTATTCTTTATTTGAACTATTTATTAGGTATATTGTTTAGTAAGTATAAATAGAAATATGTGGCGAGATGTATGCGTAAGCTAAGAAAACCCTTAATCACGATTTTATTATGCAAATTTAGACAAAATGTGGACATGTCTAACAATATAGCAGAAAGCAGCAAAATGTGTCAAGTTTTTTTTGCTCTTGTAAATCATACTTAATATAAAAACGAACATTCGGCAAACGATCTACCTCGGAACATAACTAAAAACATTTAAATTTGTATAGACTCTATCTATAAAATATAAATAATTGTAAATCATCTGAAGCAAAACAATTGCTAATAAAATATTACATACCTGACGTCGAAGGTTTCATAGTTTAAAAATGTATAACTTAGATAACATCTCATAATAGAAATAAAATGGAATAATAATAATATCACATAAAACAATTTTTTATCGGGGTGACTCGTCGATATTTGCCCCACTGACAGGAGCTGAGAGTAGTGCCATATTATCATATTTTGGTCGCGAGCAATAAATTAACCATGTTACTAAAATAGCGTGACCTATTTGACAGTGTTATCGTACAAACAAAAGTAATATGTATATTAAGGTAATGTTACATGATGCTAAATTTTTCGTCGTTTAAATTCAAATTTATTTTTTGCCAATTTTGGAGGTTTTTTACTCCAGTATGCGTCACACAAAAAACCTATACCGCTTGTGTACACAATTGTTTGTTAATAACCTTATCATGTGTACAAAATAAATAGTGCCCTATTTTCAACAAAACCAAGTATACCGGTCGGCTTACAATAACTATGGACGGTGCATTGTTCTTTTATAAGTGATTTGTACAGAATTCATAAACCATATTACTCGTATAACAAAATGATGTTTGTTTACTTTATTGCGCTCATCGTTTTAATATTAACTCCAGGTATGTAATATATTAGAATCACTTCTACATAAATAATTGTCTGCTTATAAACGAAGAATATAATCTTGAGCAGTTAGTTCTAAACACAATAATGGAAATTATCTTAATCTATTCGGGCACTAAAAAAAGGGTCTATAAGTTTTCACTTATTTTTTCACAAACATCCTTCCTGACTAGTTATAATGTTTAAGATAAACTCTAAAAAAGAGGCTAATTGAAGTGGAGGCTAATTAGATGTTTTTCAACAAATTTATCGGAATATTTTCAGGCTTTGTTCTTAATTTTATATTGAGTGCTTATATTGTTCAATTATTTTACATTTATAAAACAACGCTGCACTCGCACAAAAAAACTATCATTATTATTTTATTTAAAAAAATACTAAATCAAATAAATGGATGCTAAGTCATGTTGTAAAAAACGATTCAAACTCGTTTGTAAAATCTGTTTTTTTTAGCATTTTCTTGTCCTACTGAGCATGCGTCGTCTTCGTCGAATCCGGTCGGTTGCGAGCAAATAGATCACGCTAGCCTAATGCCAAATGACTATAGCCAGCTGTATCAAAACAAAAAGTATGTGTTGCACTACGATATATTATAATATATTTATATAAAATTCAATTGGATGTAAAGAACTGATGATTTTTAATTATAAAGAACATTAAGTTGTATTTTATATTTACAACATTACGTGTGCGTGCCTAGAGTAGTAACAATGTATGATAACGTATGACAAAACTGTAATATTGTTGTCTACTATAATAATTAAAACTGGTAAATTAAAATAATTATCACAAAACAAATCATACTAGATATAAAATGATCACTTATAAAAACAAATAAAGTAATAAGATACAACAAGATTGAAGTAAAAGATACGGATATTCAAACCATACAAATTATCTACAGTTAACATAAATATATCTAAAGTTTTAATATTTTCCTACCATGTTTATTTACTGTCTCGTGATGTTTAAGAATTATAGGTGAATTTGAATAATTAGTTTCCTTACTGCAATTATCATCTAATGACATTAATATATTTCATTTATCCTCGTGGATTGCATTTATTTCTTCGTTGCCTTTAGGGCTGCACAAGGATCTGATGCCATGGGTAAACATGCCCATTAAGGGAAATAATGTGTTGAATATTTTTCAACCCATACTTGATAATATGTCCTTTATTTCTCCTATACCATTTCAGCTTGTACTTTATAAGACCTAGGTTGTGTACCTACACCTTGATGACCAGTTGCAATGTAAATTATTGTAACGGTAAACCTGACTCTTCATTAATGTTTTCCTTAATCCTCTTTATGGACAATATGTCATAAAGATATCGATGTATTCAATAAAAAAATGTATATAATAAAAATGATTGAGAATAAAGGATTAAAGTAGGCTTACTTAGAGGTGAGTGATATAGATGAGATATAGTGGGTAGGGGGTAAGATATAGAAGATAAGAGATCAGAGATATGTTATACGTTCAACGTTCAAATTCTCTATGAATTTTTTTAAGCCAATTATTAAACATTCCAATATTAGCCAGAAACTTATGTTTTAATTAATTTACTAGATTGCTTCTTAATATAATATATCATTATTTATAATTCCACCACTACTACAAATTTATCTGATCACTTCAACGAGACATGTTCTTTGACATGTTTGAATGCTCTTTTATGGTTGCAGACTCGGCTGAAATACTTTTTTCGGTTATGTGCCTGAGCAAAGACATGAAAATGTCAATAAAAATAACAAATGCATAAAAAAAGAAAAAAGCCGTTTAAAATTCTGTAATTAAATTATAGATATAATTATTAAGAATTTTAATTGAAAATATCGAGGTTTTTCCAGAAGAGCTAGTAAATGATCTTCTAAAAGGGGGGAGGGGGTAGTTAAATTTGTACTCGTAAGCGTTTGAACGATTTTTTTGATAATATTGTAATCATTATTATTATGCGTACCACAATTGCAAGTTGTTGTGTTACAATTAACCTCGTGGATTAAGTTAGAACTTTTACTGGCTATAATTTCGAGAAAAAGAGTCGGATCGAGTTGAAATATATAAGAAATAATTATTTTGTATGCCCGCACACGTCAGTTGTGTCAAACTTAAACTATACTCATTTCCCAACCCCCTAGGGGGGGGGGTACAAGTTTTTTTGTTTTTCGGGGTTTTTAGCGGTAATTTTGAAACTTTTGGGTTGAAAATTTGCCAGTAGTTGGAACTCATATGTATCCATAACATATTAAACGGGAAAAAAATTCGGCACTACAGTTTTTTTTTAATTGCCGGGAAACTGTGTTTTCGCAGATTTCGTATATTTTAACAAAAACACCTAAAATCTTTAAAAAAAATTGATCAAATCATTAAAACAATTTTATGTATATCTATGCAGAATGATACTATTAGGTTTTGTGCTCAAGTACCACTTTTGACTTTAAGTTTACACAAATTCAATTTTTTTTTTTTTTTTTTAACTAAAAACCCGGTGTACCAGATGTGAGAAACGAACAGACACCTAAAAACTATCAGTTGGTAACGTCTATCCGTGTTAGATTAGGTTAGGGCCCAATGATCGGTATCATAATATTGTGTTTATTACATGATATCACAGGCGACTAAATCGTGTAACTGATTGTAGTAGACACTCGATTTATTGAGAAAAAAACCTATCCGTGAACTTAACGATACAAATGAGCATCAAAGCGTTTATTTGAAAGCGATTTTGTTCAATTTTGTCTCTTTTATTTATAAAAATTCTTGTAGACCTGTGATCTCTCCGTTTCCTCATTGCTTTGATTACATTATGCCAATACTCTACTGTACTAGTCCTCTGTAAAATCACTTTCAAATTAACGCTTTGATGCTCATTTTTAAATACAGAACCTTCATTTAAAACTTTCTAACTTTGCTGATTTATACTGTGCTTGGTTTGGACTGTACTGGCTTGAAAATACTAACTGCCGATTTGCATCGAAGCGTTTTTTCGAAAGTGATTTTATCACTTTCAGATTTAAAAATTCCTGTAAACCTGTGACCTTCCCGTCCCCAATATGCCCCGACCCAACTATGCTCCGTCCCCACTATGCACCGACCCCACTGTACTGGTTTTTTTCGAATTGCTATGTATTATATTTAAAGATATAATGTTATAAAAAATTATTATTCGTTATTAGTATTTATAAGTATATTAATAGTATATTTTAATATTATTTTAGGAACGCTGATGTTATTTTAGTTGTAGATAATACACGATTTCACGCCCATCGTACTGTGTTAGCCTCACGCAGTGATTATTTCAGGTAATCAAATCTTATCATTTAGTATATTAATCTGTTAGTAATGATAACTTAATAAGCATAACATATAGGCATTTTGTCAATTTTTTTTTTTTTAATAGTTTTGCTATTTTTTCACGGTACCACTAATTTCCTAATTAAGTAGCCTAAATGTATTTGAAAAAAAACAGAGATATTAGGTGCCTTAAGATTTTTAATGTTTCGTAAATTTTATACGAAAAAGGTATAATGATTAGTTTACTTGCCTAATATAAATTGATTTTATGGACGTTATCCAATAGGTATATAAAATGTTAAAACTGATCGAAAAACTTTTTTCATGTTAATCAATATGATATAACTAACTGAAATTAAATGAGAATAAATTTGAAATTAATTTTAGTGTAAAAGCACATTTGTTGTATCCTTTACACGGTTCTTTACTGCTTGTAGCGAACATATGTAATGCATTTTTGTACTAATATTGTATTTATTTTTTAGCGCATTACTGTTTGGAGGTCATAAAGAAGCCCGTGATATGGAGGTGCCAATAAAAGAAGGATCAGCAACCTCAGTAAAAGTTCTTCTTCAGTATATTTATACTGGACGAATAAATTTAAGTACACTACAGGTAACTTATAGTCAACTTAGTTGACCGGTATTAAAAAACCCAAAAAAGTACTTTTTACAAAGTTGTACGGTTTTTAAGGATCGTTTATTGTGTTTTTTGTATTAAATTAGAAATTATATATATTATTCAAAAAACCATTATTAATTTACACAAATTATGTAACTTCTTGTTTTGTAGAGTAAAATTGTTTTGGAATTATTAATTCTCTCGAGTGTATTTAGTTTTACAAACTTACAACATTCACTGTCCGAGTATTTGTGGAGTAAAATCGATGTAAACAATGTAAGTACGTTGTTTGCTGTGGCACTTTACTATCAAATCAAAGAACTCGAAGTCAAATTATTCAATTTTATCAACATTCATGCTTTGGACGTATTGGAATCTAAAGATTCTCTTTCTTTGACGCCCGTAATAAGAATTGCTTATTAAATATCAGTATTGCTCGTGTTAGATAACCAGTTGTGACAGAATATTTTTTTTTTAGGAAGTTGTACTTTTAATTCTCAATCGTGACACGGCGTATATTAACGAATTGGATAAATTCCGTGCGGTTTGTCGCTGGATAAAAACAAAAAAAAACGAACTTGATTCAGAAGCCAAAACCAAAATTTTATCTGCAGTCAGATATCAGCTTATGAATGATGAAGAACTGTCTGAAGTTAGGCGATCAGAGCTGGTTCGGTCGGATAGAATCATTTTGGATGCAATAAATTTGAGGATAGTTTCTCTCCCACAAGAGTTTAATGATCGAGGACGATTAGGTATGCCTAATGCAATTATTTTTTTAATAAACCATGTTTGTAGTAACTACTTAATTCTTTAGAACCTAATGTGAATTTCGCAGAAGATACATCCAATGAGATTTCTCAAATTGACGACGGTACCATGATCATGTTGGGCCATCCATCGAATATTAACTATATTGAAATGAAGTTAAACGACGAACTAGCAGAGTATGGTTTTACAAATGAATATTTCTAATTAAAGATTTAATAAAATTTTATTTTAATACAAATTTGAACTGAAATATATTTTTATCATAAATATTATCATACAATTATAATAATTTTAATGAGTTGAGAATTGAGAGCTAGTTTTTTCTTGTACTGCTTCTTCACATATCCTACTACACCACTGTTTTGCCTTTGATATATTTTTCCCTAATACCTTCGTTGTTGCTCCTCTTTAATAAAATTTAATTAAAAGAATTAAATTTATTCACAAAAAAAATACTATTATTTTATTCTTTTATTAAAATATGTTGTTTATTCACTTAATAATTTTTAAATAATTGCATCAACTTATTTGATTATTTAGTTATTACACTTATTACATTGAAGTATCCATGGATATGAACGATTGGTTGCGTGTAATAGATCATTCAATTTATCATTGTCGGTCAATTCAACGTTTGTGGATTAACCGAATATTTGTTCGATACATTCGAATTGTTGGCACCAATATTACTAGCAATAAGACTTTTAACTTTTTGAAAATCATGTACACTACGGCCCAATTGCACTTGTTCAAAATCAAAAACGGACTAGTGGGTAAGGAGAATACGTACTTATTCCTTGAATAATATAAAAAAGTATGATATTTGTCTAATGAGCTAATTTTTTGTATTAGCTCCGAAGTACGATATTGCTTCACCAACTATGGATTGGGCTGTATTAAAAAATGATCCAGAATGTGTACTGATTCAACTCGCCCAACCGTATATGCTTAGTTCAATGAGGTAATTGTTTACATAATTTTTAAATTTTACTTTGGTTTCTATTATTTAATATATTATATTGTTTGTGCCTGGAATACAACTTTTTATTATTTTAAAAAAAATGTATGATTAACTCTGGCAATAATATCAGGACTATATTAGTATTACAATGTTTTATAGGTTGCTGATTAATGATGGCAACAACCCAACTTGTGGTTACATTATTCATGCTTCGGTCAATAATGAAGACTGGGAACTGATTGCAGATAAATCTAAGAAGCCTGCACGATCGTGGCAGTTTTTGAAATTTGATTCCACGCTGACAGTGTATATACGTATTACTGCCGTTCGTACTTCAATAATAGAAGATGTAATATTATTAATAAGAGTGTTTTTTTATGATGTTAAAAGCTTTTTATTTTTTGCAGCTTATTATAAAAGTATATATTGAGGCACCTGCTCAAGTATCGCTTGATTGCAACGCCATGCTAAAACGGTCGCGATCGATATTTTGCTTATAGTGCGTCAATAGCGCCATCATTCGCAAAAAAGCCTACTTTTATAAGGATTTTATAGGTTTTTTTACATCTTATTATATTTATAATTTTGTTTGCCTAATCAAATAATATATAATATTGAAATTATTGTTCACATATGACTTATGGCTTTATATAATTTTTTAAATATCACAAGTTTGGTTCACGTATACACCCATAAATGATTTTGGATCGACATTTGACAAGAAAGTTGGTTACACGTTCCGTTAGTAGACTTTTAAATCTATTTTCGAACGAATACCATACTGATCTTATGGAATGTCAAGTCTCATATATAATCAAATATACATGAATCATTCTTATAAATGCTACCATAGTTATAAAGTTATACTTATACTTTTAAACATATCGTATGGACCATGCTATTTTATAAAAATGAATAAGTGTTCCTAACCTCAAGTCATGTAAAAAGTGTAGAGATAAAAAACTAAAAAAAAGTGCGTCACGCACTTGTCCATGCATCTAATTTAGTTAAGTGGATACAATTTTATTTTTTAAGCACAACATATCAATTATAATCAACGAAAACAATTTTTTTTTGGTTTGGTTACGGCATAAATGTTTTTTTTCTAATTTTTTATCTATTTATATCACCAATGCTAATTCCAATTTCATTTATAATTTTTTATTTAATATTTACCTATTATTTTTTTGTTATGTTCTATAAAATGTACAATATACATATTTTAAAATATTATATTAAGTATATTACATATTTCTAATTTTCTATTTTATAATACTTATTTATTTTATTTAATGAATAAAATACTTACTTGTACATTAAAATTTTACTTGTATAAAAAAATAATTATTTTATAATTTTTACATTTTAATAGTAATAAAATTATTAGATAAAACAACTTTACACTTAACCCATATCATATAAGGTGATGACACTATAACTAACAAAATTGTATTGACATAGATGAAGCCCGTCTTATGACAAACACAGAGGTGCCGTCAAAATTGGTTCAGCGTAACTTTTTAGTATTTTTTACAATGTCATTTCTTTATAACCTGTCACGAATTAATCACATCTGTCACATCAATATCTTGTATCCGTCAATGTAATATACAGATTATAAATTGTTGGTACTTGGCTAAGATGCGCGGATAGAATATTTATAATATACAGCGATCATCCACGGTTACCAGTCGATAAAGAGTTCGTTGTACAGCTACGCGAAATGTTTACTTTCGTTTACCGGTCAAATTCACATCCGCCAGCTCTACTTCCGTTACTTACTTCCCATATTTGCACAAGTTTACTCCTTATGAAATGTCAGGTTTCATATAAAATCAACTATGAATGGCTTTAAGCTATGAGCTGAATATCATTAATGGGGTCATGTTACAATGATTATCGCATAAAACAATATTCGAAAAATAACATCTATATTCGCATCTTCGCTATTAAGTTTAGTTCTACACAATGAACATTATTCAAGCATCGCACAAAAAATCTATACCGGTTGTGTACACAATTGTTTATTAAGAACCCTATCAAGTGTACAAAATAAATAGTGCCCAATTTTCAACAAAACAAAATATGTCGGTCGTTTTACAAAAACTATAGACGGCACATTGTTCTTTTTTAAGTGTTTTTTTATAGAATTCATAAACCATATTAACACGTATAACACAACGATGTTTGTTTATTTTATTGCGCTTATCGTTTTAAGATCAACTCCAGGTATGTAATATATTTCATACACGTCTACATAAATAATTTTCTGCTTATAATCGAAGAATATAATCTTGAGCAGTTAGTTCTGAACACAATAATGAAAAGTATCTTAATCTATTCGCGCACTAAAAGATGGCCCAAAACGTTTTTACTTATCTTTTCACAAACATTCTTTCTGACTAGCTATAATGTTTAAGATAAACTCTAAAAAAGAGGCTAATTGAAGTGGAGTCTATTTAGTTATTTTCAACAAGTTTATCATGTTTTTCAGGCTTTGTCCTAACTTTTGTTAAATTCCTAATATTGTTAAATTCATAGTTGTTAAATAAACAACTATGAAACAACGCTGCACTCGCGCAACAAAACTATTATTATTATTTTATTTAAAAACTTAAAAAAATGCTAAATCAAATGGCTAAGATGCTAAGTCATGTCGTAAATAAACTATTCAAATTTGTTTGTAAAATATGTTTTAATTTTTAGCTTTTTCTTCTTCTACTGGACATGCGTCGTCTTCGTCGAATCCTGTTGGTTCCGAGCAAATAGAACACGCTCACCTAATGGTAAACGACTATAGCCAGCTGTATCTAAACAAAAAGTATGTGTTATACTACGATATTTTATAATAAATATATAATATAAAATTCAATTGGATGTAAAGAACTGATGGTTTTTAATTATAAAGAACATTAAATTGTATTTTATGTTTACAACATTACGTGTGCGTGCCTAGAGTAATTACAATATATGATAACGTATGACAAAACTGTAATATTGTTGTCTACTATAACAATTAAAACTAGTAAATTAAAATAATTGTAAAAAACAAAACATACAAGATATCATATTATCACATACAAAAAAAAAAAATAAATATTGTTAATGAAAAACAAAATTGAAATAAAAGAATCAGATATTCAAACCATACAAATTATCAACAAATAACATAAATATCTCTTAAGTTTTACTATTTCCCTACCATGTTTATTTACTGTTTCATGCTGTTTAAGAACTTTTTGAGTATTTTAATAACTAGTTTGCCTACTGCAATTATCATCTAATGACATCAATACTTTTCAACCCAGACTTGATAATATGTTCTTTATTTCTCCTATACCATTTCAGCTTGTACTTTACAGATCTAGGTTGTGTACCCATACCTCGATGACCAGTTGCAATGTAAATTATTGTAACGGTAAACCTGTAACGGTAACTCTTCAACAATGTTTTCTTTAATCCTCTTTAAGGACAGTTTGTCCATAAAGATATCGATGAATTCAATAAAAAAATTTACATAATAAAAATGATTGATAATAACGGATTAAAGTAGGCTTACTTATCAATTATTTATCAAAAATAAACTGATGTCTTCATCCCATAACCATGATAAGTGTTTTTCAAGTAGCAATAAAATTAAGGAATTTTAAGGAATGATTTGTCATTCACTTGCTAGTTACAAATTATGACTATCAACTTTCTTAAATACCTCAATATGCTTAATTAGCTATCGCCGAAACACTACCTTCAATAAGAATAACAAATGCATAAAAACGCAAAAGCAATTTAAAATTCTGTAATTAAATTATAGATATAACTATTGTGAATTTTGATTGAAAATTTTTCCAGAAGTGCTTGTAAAAGATCTTCTTCATGGGAGGAGGGGGTTATTTAATTTGTATCTGTAGGCGTTTGGACGATATTATTGGTAAAATTGTGATCATTATTATTATTCGTACCATTTGTAAGTTTTTGTGTACGATTAACCAGCATAAGGCTCTGACGCCATGGGTAAATATGCCAATTAAGGGAAATAATATGTTCATGATATCCCGGGACTCATTGCGCCTTTTATCAACTTTTTTTTTTAATTGCTCTGTATTATTATTAAAGAAATTATATTATACATAAATTATTATTTATTATTAGTATTTATAAGTATATTAATAATATATTTTAATATTTATTTTAGGGATTCTGATGTTATATTAGTTGTAGATAATACACGATTTTACGCCCATCGTAATGTGTTAGCCTCACAAAGTGTTTATTTCAGGTAATCAAATATTATCATTTATTATATTATTCTGTTGGAAATGATACATTAATAAGTCTTTTGTCAATTTAATTTTTTTAAATAGTTTTGCTATTTTTTTACGGTATCACTAATTTCCTAATTAACTTGCCTTAATGTATTAGAAGAAAACCACTGCCTTAAGATATTTAATGTTTTGTAAATGATATAAAAAAAAAGGTAAAATTGTTAGTTTACTTGCCTAATTTAAATTGATTATATGGACGTTAACCAATAGGTATAAAGATTGTTTAAACTGATCGAAAAACTTATTTCATGCTGACCAATTTGATATAACTAACTGAAATTTAATGAGTATAAATTTGAAATTAATTTTAGTGTAAAAGCACATTTGTTGTATCCTTTACACGGTTCTTTACTGCTTGTAGCGAACATATGTAATGCATTTTTGTACTAATATTGTATTTATTTTTTAGCGCATTACTGTTTGGAGGTCATAAAGAAGCCCGTGATATGGAGGTGCCAATAAAAGAAGGATCAGCAACCTCAGTAAAAGTTCTTCTTCAGTATATTTATACTGGACGAATAAATTTAAGTACACTACAGGTAACTTATAGTCAACTTAGTTGACCGGTATTAAAAAACCCAAAAAAGTACTTTTTACAAAGTTGTACGGTTTTTAAGGATCGTTTATTGTGTTTTTTGTATTAAATTAGAAATTATATATATTATTCAAAAAACCATTATTAATATACACAAATTATGTAACTTCTTGTTTTGTAGAGTAAAATTGTTTTGGAATTATTAATTCTCTCGAGTGTATTTAGTTTTACAAACTTACAACATTCACTGTCCGAGTATTTGTGGAGTAAAATCGATGTAAACAATGTAAGTACGTTGTTTGCTGTGGCACTTTACTATCAAATCAAAGAACTCGAAGTCAAATTATTCAATTTTATCAACATTCATGCTTTGGACGTATTGGAATCTAAAGATTCTCTTTCTTTGACGCCCGTAATAAGAATTGCTTATTAAATATCAGTATTGCTCGTGTTAGATAACCAGTTGTGACAGAAATTTTTTTTTTTTAGGAAGTTGTACTTTTAATTCTCAATCGTGACACGGCGTATATTAACGAATTGGATAAATTCCGTGCGGTTTGTCGCTGGATAAAAACAAAAAAAAACGAACTTGATTCAGAAGCCAAAACCAAAATTTTATCTGCAGTCAGATATCAGCTTATGAATGATGAAGAACTGTCTGAAGTTAGGCGATCAGAGCTGGTTCGGTCGGATAGAATTATTTTGGATGCAATAAATTTGAGGATAGTTTCTCTCCCACAAGAGTTTAATGATCGAGGACGATTAGGTATGCCTAATGCAATTATTTTTTTAATAAACCATGTTTGTAGTAACTACTTTTTTCTTTAGAACCTAATGTGAATTTCGCAGAAGATACTCCCAATGAGATTTCTCAAATTGACAACGGTACCATGATCATGTTGGGCCATCCATCGAATATTAACTATATTGAAATGAAGTTAAACGACGAACTAGCAGAGTATGGTTTTACGTATCAATATTTCTAATCAAAGATATAATATAATTTTATTTTTATAAAAATTTGAACTGAAAGATAATTTTATCATAAATATAATCATATGATACCAATAACTTTGATGAATTGAGAATGTAATTTCTTATCCTCCTTAGGTAAATCGGCCACTAGGACCATCCCGAAATAATGCCTTGTCTCCAGTTTCTCTAACTGATGCCTGTATCCTTCAGTCTAAGCCTCCTCCTAACGCTTCCACGTCATTCCTTACTCCCTAGTTCTATCATTTTAGTCGTGGTCTTCCTAGCGGTATTTTTCCAGTAGAATTTTCTTCTAGAATGGTAGTATGCTTTTGAGTGGTTTTTGGCTACGCCAAGCATTTCCAGCCAATTGTTACACTATTGTTCCTTACCGTTTCCAAGATACTGGGTTTATTGAAGAGCGTTTCTAATACATCGGTTTTTCTTAGTTTTTATTCACCACTTATCATGTCATATATAGGTCCAAAAATCTTTCGTAGTCATTTTCACTCCAGGACTTACCAGGACAACCAGTTTTATTAGCTTTTCCTGGAAATGGAACTCCATCATGATATTGATTAAGTTCTCTCTGTGTATACTCTCATATTGTGCCTTCTTAAAACTATGAAATGTACGTTTATTTCTCCATCGCACTCCCAGTTATTTTGATATATCTGTCTTAGGATAAATATCTGGTCCGTGGTCTACCACCCTGGCCTGAAACCGCATTAGTAATTGCCAATAACTTTTTCTGACTTTTCTTTTATCCTTGCCAATATGTAGTTGGAAAAAATGTTATAAGACACATTTAAGAGAGCTAGTCCGCGATACTTATTGCAGTCTTATTTACTTCCTTGTTTATGTATTGGACAAATCACCGCTGTCTTCCCTTCTGGCATTTTTGCTGTTGGCGAAACCTCCCAAATTAACTTCCTTAATCATAAAGCCATTTCTTCTACTCCTTTCTTTAAATGTTCCGACTGAATCTCATCTTCCTCGGGAGATATAATGTTTCTTCAGTATATTTATCTGCGATTTTATTTCCTCCAGGGTAGGTTCTTCACAACCCTGTTCTTTTCGGATTTCCTGATGAAAATAAAAAATTTCAATTGATTCTTTATAGTTCAATAACTTTTTAAAATAATCACCCAATTTGATTACCAACTCTTCATTTGTAGTTTTTTGTATCCACCTCAGAGGTCATTCACTCGCTTATACATATCCCTAGCTCTACGCCCTTTATAGTCAAGTTTTGCTGTTTCTAATATATTTTGAATGTATTTTCTCCTTTCACATTTCAGTATTCTGCTGGCTTCCCATTGGCGTGTTCTAAACCTTGTCAACGTTACTTAATTGCTGGTGTCATTTAACCATTCTCGTCTTACTAATTATCTTCTTAGTACTGCATCTTCACATATCCTATTGAACCACGGTTTTGCCTTTGATATTTTTTCCCCCTAATACCTTCGTTGTTGCTCCACTTATAGTTTCTTTAACATAATTTAATTAAAAGAATTAAATTTATTCACAAAAAAAATATCAATATTTTATTCTTATATTAAAACATGTTGTTTATTCACTAAATAATAATTTATAAATAATTGCTTTAACTTATTTGATTATTTAGTTTTTACACTTATTACATTGAAGTATCAACGGATAAGCTCGATTGGTTGCGTGTAATAGATCATTCAATTTATCATTGTCGGTCAATTCAACGTTTGTGGATTAACCGAATATTTGTTCGATACATTCGAATTGTTGGCACCAATATTACTAGCAATAAGACTTTTAAATTTTTGAAAATCATGTACACTACGGCCCAATTGCACTTGTTCAAAATCAAAAACGGACTAGTGGGTAAGGAGAATACGTACTTATTCCTTGAATAATATAAAAAAATATGATATTTGTCTAATGAGCTAATTTTTTGTATTAGCTCCAAAGTACAATGTTGCTTTACCATCTATGGATTTAGCTGTAATCAAAAGACAAATAGATTGTATACAGGTTCAACTCGCCCAACCGTATGTGCTTAGTTCAATGAGGTAATCGGTTGCATAACATTTAACTTTTACTTTGGTTTCTATTATTTAATTACTATATTGTTTGTGTCTGGGATATAACTTTTTATTATTAAAAATAATTTATGATGAACTCTGGCAATAATATCAGGAATATATTAGTATTATAATGTTTTATAGGTTGCAGTTTAACGATGGCAGTAGCCGAACTTGTGGTTACCTTATTCATGTTTCGGTCAATAATGAAGACTGGAAACTGATTGCATATAAATACGAGAAGCCGGCACGATTGTGGCATTTTTTGAAATTTGATCCCACGCCGATAGTATATATACGTATTACTGCCGTTCGCACTTCAATAAATGCCATAGTAATATAATTAATCTAATAGTATTTTTTTAAACTGTTAAAAACTTTTTATTTTTTGCAGCTTTTTGTAAAAGTATATATTGAGGCACCTGCTCCAGACTCATCTGATTCCAACTCCACGCTTAAACTGTCACGGTCGATATTTTGTTTTTAGGTTGTCAATAGCGCCATCATTCGCTAACAGGCCTACTTCTATAAGGATTTTATTGGTTTTTTTTACATATTATTATATGTATAATTTTGTTTGCTTAATAAATAATACACACAAATAAATGTTCACATATGACAAATGGCTATATATTATTTTATAATTATCACAAGTGTAGTACGCGTTTACCTGTAATTATAAAAAAGTAAAATTTTCCAACCCATAAATGATTTTGGATCGACATTTGACAAGAAAGTTAGTTACATGTTCCGTTAGTAGACTTTTAAATTTATTTTCGAACGAATACCGTGCTTATGGAAAGTCAAGTCTCATGTTTAATCAAATATACATGAATCATTCCTATAAATGCTACGATAGTTATAAAATTATAACAAAAAATTAGGTATACTTATACTTTTAAACTTATCGTATGGACCATGCTAATATATAAAAAGCATTAGTTGTTCCTACTAGGTATTTATACATACAGATAAATTAAATTCCCTTTTCTTAGTTTAAGGTCTTTCTATTGAACTAAATAGTATTCCTAAGTTAATGTGTCTAAATAAGTATAAATATAGATAAATATGTAATTCAATTACTTACGATACCAAACAAAACATTACAAATAGAAAAATAACTCGAATAATTAACATCAATAAAAAAAAAATTATTTTTTAAAGTCCATATAACTTCTGCATTATTTATTTAAACACCTATAAACTGTTCAATTGATTCTACTGCTCATAATAATTAAAATAAATAAAAATAATACTGTGGTAGCATAGAACTTTAGGTTTTCTAAATATGTTCTTGACCTACCATATTCCATTTATGTGAAAGAAAATTACATTTTCCTTGTTCTGACTCGATTTAGAGCACTCCAAATTGCACTCAAAAGTTCAAGTCCTGGAACTCTCTGAGTATTACATCGATTTTTACAATTTATCAGTACAGCCGTTTAAGGGTTTCTAAGATTTATACTAGAAACTTGTCCATTTTGGATCTTTAATGAGTTGTTTTATCCGAAAATTCTTCCACATTCTTATGCAGTTGACCACATTCTGCAGTTCATCCCCCTTAAAAGCCGGTTTCCCAACTCTAGGACAAGAGAGTGCCCTTCTCTTGACGGCTCCTTCACCCGAAGCTGTTGGCTGACAAGAGTTAGATCGCTTAAGCCTAAATAAAATAATTTAAATAATATTATACGATTAAATATTAATATCCATCAATCTCGTTGGTTTTCTGAAAACCGAAATTCTAACTAATTGGTTAATATGTTTTTTCTTGAATGTGTCCTATATTTGTAACTTCACTACATATTTGCTACTGCACAATTAAGTTCACCCACGCGTCACACAACAAATCTATACCGGTTGTGTACACAATTATTTGTTCAAAAACTCTGTCAAGTGTACAAAATTGGAAGAGAAAAATTATTGCTGTGGTGTATTCCTTGATGTGGCCCAAGCTTTTGAAAAAGTTTGGCACAAAGGTTTATTACTAAAACTGCAAGAGCAGCTCCACATACGTGGTGTGCACTTCTCAAATCATATCTGACTGAAAGACAGTTTCGTGTTAGATACGAAGAGGCGACCACTAACTGAAAGAGTATATCAGCTGGAGTACCTCAAGGTAGTGTTCTCGGACCTATTTTGTACCTGTTTCGCAAACAAATGTAAATTTATTTCCTTATGAAATGTCAGGTTTCATATAAAATCAACTATGCATGGATTTAAGCTATGAGCTGAATATCATAAATGGGGTCATGTTACAATGATTATCAAATAAAATAAGATTCGAAAAATAACATCTATATTCGTATTATCGCTATTAAGTTTGCTTCTACACAACAAAGTTTTTTCAAGCGTCACACAAAAAATCTACACCGGTTGAGTATACAATTGTTTGTTAAAAACAATATCAAGTGTACAAAATAAATAGTGCCATATTTGCAACAAAACAAAATATATCTGTCGGCTTACAATAACTATGGACGGCGAATTGTTCTTTTATAAACGTTTTGTATAGAATTCATAAACCATATTAACACGTATAATACAATGATGTTTGTTTGTTTTATTGCGCTCATCGTTTTAAAGTCAACTCCAGGTATGTCATATATTTTATACACGTCTACATAAATAATTTTCTGCTTATAATCGAAGAATATAATCTTGAGCAGTTAGTTCTGAACACAATAATGAAAATTATCTTTATCTATTCACGCACTAAAAGATGGCCCAAAACGTTTTTACTTATTTTTTCACAAACATTTTTTCTGACTAGCTATAATGTTTAAGATAAACTCTAAAAAAGAGGCTAATTGAAGTGGAGCTTATTTAGATATTTTTCAACAAGTTTATCGGAAGATATTCAGGCTTTGTCCTTAATTGTATATTGAGTGCTTATATTGTTAAATTATTTTAAAAATATAAAACAACGCTGCACTCACGCAATAAAACTATCATTATTATTTTTTTTAAAAAACTAAAAAAATGCTAAATCAAATGGCTAAGATGATAAGTCATGTCGTAAATAAACTATTCAAATTTGTTTAAAAAATCTGTTTTATTTTTTAGCTTTTTCTTCTTCTACTGGGCATGCGTCGTCTTCGTCGAATCCGGTCGGTCCTGAGCAAATAAATCACGCTCACCTAATGGAAATCGACTATAGCCAGCTGTATCTAAACAAAAAGTATGTGTTATACTACGGTATTTTAAAATACATATATAATATAAAATTAAATTGCATGTAAAGAACATTAAATTGTATTTTATGTTTACAATATTACGTGTGCGTGCCTAGAGTAATTACAATATATGATAACGTATGACAAAACTGTAATATTGCTGTCTACTATAACAATTAAAATTAGTAAATTAAAATAATTGTCAAAAACAAAACATACAAGATATCATATTCTCACATACAAAAACAAATAAAATAAATATTGTTAATGAAAAACAAAATTGAAATAAAAGAATGAGATATTCAAACCATACTAATTATCAACAAATAACATAAATATCTCTTAAGTTTTACTATTTCCCTACCATGTTTATTTACTGTCCCATGCTGTTTAAGAAAAATAGGTGAATTTGAATAATTAGTTTCCTTACTGCAATTATCATCTAATGACATCAATATTTTTCAACCCAGACATGATAATATGTTCTTTATTTCTCCTATACCATTTTAGCTTGTACTTTATAAGACCTAGGTTGTGTACCCACACCTCGATGACCAGTTGCAATGTAAATTATTGTAACGGTAAACCTGAACGTAACTCTCAACAATGTTTTCCTTAATCCTAAGGTACAGTTTGTCCATAAAGATATCGATGAATTCAATAAAAAAATTTATATTTTTACTACTTTTACTTTTTTCCTGCCATTTTTATTTACTGACTCATGCTGTTTAAGATTTATTGGTGAATTTGAGTAATTAGTTTCCTTACTGCAATTATCATCTAATGACATCAATATTTTTCATTTAACCTGGTGAATTGCATTTATTTCTTCGTTGCCTTTAGGGCTGCACAAGGATCTGACGCCATGGGTAAACATGCCAATTAAGGGAAACAATATGTTCATGATATCTCGGTTACCTGATTTTAGGGTAATGCGCCTTTTATCAACTGTGTCCATAAATGAAACTATGGCCAATTTCGTATACGAATACAGAGGAGTTTTTAACTAAACTTTTTAAAAAAAATAATATTGTACATAAATTATTATTTATTATTAGTATTTATAAGTATATTAATAATATATTTTAATATTTATTTTAGGGACTCTGATGTTATATTAGTTGTAGAAAATACACGATTTTACGCCCATCGTAATGTGTTAGCCTCACGCAGTGTTTATTTCAGGTATTCAAATATTATCATTTAGTATATTATTCTGTTAGTAATGATACCTTAATAAGCATAACATACAAGCATTTTGTCAATTTTATTCTTTTCATAGGTCTGCTAATTTTTAAACGGTACCACTAATTTCCTAATTAAGTACCCTAAATGTATTTGAAAAAAAAAACAGAGGCATTAGGTGCCTTAAGATTTTTAATGTTTTGTAAATGTTATAAAAAAAAGGTAAAATTGTTAGTTTACTTGCCTAATTTAAATTGATTATACGGACGTTATCCAATAGGTATATAAATTGTTTAAACAGATCGAAAAACTTATTTCATGCTGACCAATATGATATAACAAACTAAAATTAAATGAGTATAAATTTGAAATGAATTTTAGTGTAAAAACACATTTGTTGTATCCTATACACACGGTCCTTTACTGGTTGTAGGGAACATATGTATTGCATTTTTGTAATAATATTGTGTATATTTTTTAGAGCATTACTGTGTGGCGGTCATAAAGAAGCCGGTCAAAAGGAGGTGCCAATAAAAGAAAGATCAGCAACCTCAGTTAAAGTACTTCTTCAGTATATTTATACTGGTCGAATAAATTTAAGTACACTAGAGGTAACTTATAGTCAACTTAGTTGACCGGTATTAAAAACCCCCAAAAAGTACTTTTGTGTATAATGTATTAAATTGGAAATTAAATATATTTTTCGAAAAACGATTATTTACATACACATGTTATGTAATTTTTTATTTTGTAGAGTAAAGTTGTTGTGGATTTATTAATTCTATCGAATGTATTTGGTTTTACAAACTTACAATTTTCTCTGTGTGAGTATTTGTGGAGTAAAATCGATGTAAGCAATGTAAGTACGTTGTTTGCTGTGGCACTTTACTATCAAATCAAAGAATTCGAAGTCAAATTATTCAATTTTATCAACATTCATGCTTTGGACGTATTGGAATCTAAAGATTCTCTTTCTTTGACGCCCGTAATAATAATTGCTTATTAAATATCAGTATTGTTCTTGTTAGATAGCCAGTTGAGACAGATTTTTTTTATTTTTAGAAAGCATTACTATTAATTCTCAAACATAACACGGCGTATACTAACGAATTGGATATATTTCGTGTGGTTTGTCAATGGATAAAAAAAAAAAAAAACGAACTTGATCCAGAAGCTAAAACTAAAATTTTATGTGCAGTCAGATATCAGCTTATGAATGATGAAGAACTATCTGAAGTTAAAAGATCAGATCTTGTTCGATCGAATAGAAATATTTTGGATGTAATACAATTGAGATTAGACTCCCTCCCACAAGAATATAGTGATCGAGGACGATTAGGTATGATTGATGCAATTATTTCTTATGCAAATTATGTCAGTAGTAACTATTGTATTCTTTAGAGCCCAATGTGAATTTCGCTGTTGGCACTCCCAATAAGCTTTCTCAAATTGACGGTGGTACCATGATCATGTTGGGTCATCCATCTAATATAAACTACATTGAAATGGAATTAAGCAACAAACAAGCAATGTATGGTTTCACTTATCAATATTTCTTATAAAAGATTTATTATAATTTTATTTTAATAAAAATTTGAACTAAAATATATTTTTATCATAAATAATATAACACAATAATAATAATTTTGATGAATTGAGAATTTAATTTCTTCTTATCCTCAGGTAAATCGGCCACTAGAACCATCCCAAAATACAGCCTTGCCTCCAGTTTTCTCTATCCAAAGCCCGTATCATGTTGTAAAACATGTTGTTTATTCCCTAATTAATTTTAAAACAATTGTTTCAACTTATTTGATTATTTAGTTATTACACTTATTACATTGAAGTATCAATGGATGGGCAAGATTGGTTGCGTGTATTAGATCATTCAAATTATCATTGTCGGTCAATTCAACGTTTGTGGATTAACCGAATATTTGTTCGATACATTCGAATTATTGGCACCAATAATACTAGTAATAAGACTTTTAACTTTTTGAAAGTCATGTACAATACAGACAAATTGCACTTAGTGGAAATAAAAAACGGATTAGTGGGTAAGGAGAATACGTTCTTATTCCTTGAATATTATAAAAAATATGATATTTGTCTAATGAGGTGATTTTTTTTATTAGCTCCAAAGTACCTTGTTGCTTTACCAACTATGGATTGGGCTATATTAAAATCAGATCTAGATTGTGTATTGATTCAACTCGCTCAACCATATGTGCTTAGTTCATTAAGGTAACCGTTTACATAATATTTAACTTTTTCTTTGGTTAATACCTGAAATACAACTTTTTATAATTTAAAAACTAGTACAGTGGGGCCGGGGCATTGTGGGGACTGGGAGGTCACAGGTTTACAGGAATTTATAAACCTGAAAGTGATAAAATCGCTTTCGAAGAAACGTTTCGATGCAAATCTGTAGTTACTATCTTTAAACAAGTACAGTACAAACCAAGCACAGTGTAAGCCAGCAAAATTAGAAAGTAACAAATTATGTCATTTTAAAAACGACTTATGTCACCAATTTTTCAAAAAAGAAATTAGTATCACTGCAAAAACTAGTTATGAATTAATGAAGATTTTTTGTGGCTAATGTAAAATTTCAATTTTATGACTTGTGTCGTTTTTGAAATGACCGATAAATTTTAAAATAAAAGCATCAAAGCGTAATTTAAAAGTGATTTTATCCGAGAGGCTTAGTACAGTAAAACGTAGGCATAAAGAAATCACAGAAAAGAGGTGACGGAGAGGTCACATGTCTACAGGAATTCTTATAAATAAAAGTAAATAAAAAAAAAAATTTGATAAATATTTTTCTAAGATATTAGGGGTTTTTGTTAAAATATACGCAATTTGCGGAAACACAGTTTTCCGGCAATTAAAAAAAAACTGTTGTGCCGAATTTGTTGTCTGTTTAATATGCTATGTATACATATGAGTTCTGACAAGTGACAAATTTTCAACTTAAAGGTCCTAAAATCACGGTTAAAAATCTAAAAAAAAACCCCTAGAGGGGTGGAAAACGGGTTTAATTTAAATTAGATACAAATGACGTGTGCGGGTCTACCAAATAAATATTCCTTATAAATTTCAACTCGATCTGACTCTTTGTCTTGAAATTATAGCCAGTAAAAGTTCTAACTTAAAAATCGTACGTTTTTTTTTTCTATTTTCAAATTTCGACTGTTAAGAAGTAAATGTTTTCAACTTTACTTTAATAAGATGAAAATTGTGATTTATAGAGTTGATACTCGAAGGAATTGGCCCAGTATTAAAAAAGTTACAGTGTATACAGATAAAAAAAACCCCACAACAGAGTAAAACCAGTACCTTCGCCGCTCTGCATCGAAGCTAAAAATAATTTATGGTTAACTCTGGAAAATAGATCAGGACTATTTTAGTATTATAATTGTTTATAGGATTCTGCTTAATGATGGCGACAGCGAAACTTGTGGTTACATTATTCATGTTTCGGTCAATAATGAAGTCTGGGTACCGATCGTGGATAAATCTAAGAAGCCAGTACATTCGTTGGAGTTGTTGAAATTTGATCCCACGCCGATAGTGTATATACGTATTACTGCCGTTCGCCATTTAAAAAATTACAAAGTAATATTATCAATAAGAGTGTTTTTCTAAAATGTTAAAAACTTTTTTTTTTTTTGCAGCTTATTAAAAAAGTATTTATTGAGGCACCTGCTCAAGTATCGCAAGATTCCAATGCCACGCTAAAACAGTCACGGTCGATATTTTGTTTTTAGGTCGTCAATAGAGCCATCATTCGCTAGAAGGTCTACTTCTATAAAGATTTTATTGGTTTCTTTTTCATATAATTATACTTATAATTTTGTTCGCTTAATAAGTAATATTCAAATAAATGTTCACATATGACAAATGGCTATATATTATTTTATAAACATCACAAGTGTGGTACGCGTTTACCTGTAATTATAAATTAGAAAAATTTTCCAACCCATAAATGATTTTGGATCGACATTTGATAAGAAAGTTGGTTACATGTTCCGTTAGTGGACTTTTAAATCTATTTTCCAACGAATACCATACCGTGCTTATGGAATGTCAAGTCTTATGTATAATCAAATATCCATGAATCATTCTTATAAATGCTACTTTAGTTATAAAATTATACTTATACTTTTAAACATATCGTATGGACCATGCTATTATATAAAAAAGAATTATGTGTTCCTACTAGGTATTAATACATATAGATAAATAAAATTCCCTTTTCTTAGTCTCCGGACTTTCTATTTGACTAGACGATATTCCTTACTTAATGGGCCTAAAAAAGTATAAATAACAACTTAATAAGCATAACTATACAAATATATCAAATTAATTGTTTTAAATAGTTTTGCTAAACAAGAGTAAATTGGAAATGACTTATTGTATAAACTTTTTGTATTCTATAAAATGTGTGTTTTTAGTTGTAGGGAACATAATGCATTCTTATGCTAATATTGTTTATATTTTTTGGCGTATTACTGTATGGTGGTCATATAGAATCACATAAAAAAGAGGTGCCAATAAAAGAAGGATCAGCAACCTCAGTTAAAATACTTCTCCAGTACATTTATTCCGGTCGAATGGATTTAAGTATTCTTGAGGTAACTTACAGTAGACTTAAATGGCCGGTATTTAAAAGCCAAAAATCTACTTTTTATGGATGTGCATTTTTTAAAGATTGTTCGGTCTATTGGTTGTGTTTTATGTAATATATTAGCAAAAAATATTTAATATTCAGAAAACGATTATTTTTGTAATACACGTATTTTGTATTTTTTTATTTTTAAGGGTAAAATTATTTGTAAGTACGTTGTTTGGTGTGGCACTTTACTGTCAAATCAAAGAACTAGAAATCGATTCACTTAATTTTATCGACATTCATGCTTTGGACGTATTGCAATCAGATGATTCTCTATCTTTGACTCACGTAATGATATTTTATAATAAAAATTGCATAATGCTAGTGTTACATAGTCAGTTGTGACTAAATTGTTTTTTTTTTAGGACGCATTACTTCTAATTCTCAATCGTGACACGGCGTATGCTAATCAATTGGATATATTCCGTGCGGTTTGATTAGTCGAGAATTCAATTTATTCACAATTAAAATATCGTTTTTTTATTCATAATCAAAAATATGTTAATTATATTGCTCTTTTAATAACTTAATTTATAAAAAAATTACACGACCTTTTATTTGAACGAATTAGTTTTCGTTGGTGCTTCACTTATAGATTCTTTAACAAAATTAAAATTATATTATTTAATTTATTCACAAATAAAATATCAATATTTTATTCTTGTATTAAAACATGTTGCTTATTCACTAAATAATTTTTAAATAATTGCTTTAACTTATTTGTCTATTTAGTTCTTACACTTATTACATTGAAGTATCAAAAGATAGGCTCAAATGGTTGCGTGTAATAGATCATTCAAATTATCATTGTCGGTCAATTCAACGTTTGTGGATCAACCGAATACTTGTTCGGTACATTCGAATTGTTGGCACCAATAATACTAGTAATAAGACTTTTAACTTTTTGAAAGTCATGTACAATACAGACCAATTGCACTTAGTGGAAATAAAAAACGGATTAGCGGGTAAGGACAATTTGAACCCCTCCATTTATTAATGTAAAAAAACATATTTGTCTAATGAGTGATTTTAATTCTATTAGCTCCAAAGTACAATGTTGCTTTACCATCTATGGATTTAGCTGTAAACAAAAGACAACCAGATTGTTTAAAGGTTCAACTCGCCCAACCGTATGTGCTTAGTTCAATGAGGTAATCGTTTACACAACATTTAACTTTTACTTGGGTTTCTGTTATTTAATTATTATATTGTTTGTGCCTGACTAGTACGCTAGGCGCTAATTGCGGGCTGGGGAAGGTATGTCACATGTGAAGTGGTCCTGTAGAAAGGCGACTTAACGTTCGGCCTCAACGTCCACACTTTAGTCGCTTTTTACGACTGGCTTGTAACCTTAGAATTATTCTTTCTCCCCTATCCACAGAGATAACCGCGGCCAGTAAGCTGACCGCTCGCGCCCAGTGTACTGTTTGTGCCTGAAGTACAACTTAATTTAATAAATTAAAATTTAAGAAGCCGGCACGATCGTGGCAGTTGTTTAGATTTGATCCTACGCCAATAGTGTATATACGTATTAGTGCCGTTCACACTTCAAAAAAAGACGAAGTAATATAATTAACCTAAGAAATTTTTCTTAAACTGTTCAAAACTTTTTTTTTTTTGCTATTTAAAAGTGTACATTTGGTGACACCTGCTCCAGTATCGCTAGATTCTGACGCCCCCACAAAACAATCGTGGTCGATTATACGGCTTTTAGGTCGTAAATAGCGCCATCATTCGCCCGAAGACCTTCTTTTATATGGATTTTATGTGGTTTTTTACATATTATAATATGTTACTCTAATTTGTTTTTGCTTATTAAATATATATAACATTCAAATTAAAATTCACATATGGCTCTATATTGTTTTATAAACATAACAACATGAATTGTATAAATAAACCTAATAATTTATTTGTTGAATCGAAAACTCTTCGTATATTCAAAGAAATTTTGGATGAATTTCAACAAAAAAATTAAAAACAAAAAATTAATTTTTAAAATACTATAATATAAAAGTAATTATATGGAAAAGTATTATATGTCGATAACAAAATTATAACTTTTTTTCTCCATAAATTTTTCCTAAAGAATAAAAACATAGTTTACCTTATTTGGCCTCCATATCGTTGACTTTCTGAAAACCGAAATTTCCTTTGATTATCTGACAACAAGTTTGCAAAAAAAACCTGTCCCCAAAAGTTAGACTGATTACCGTGGTTGCTAAATAAATAGAACTCAACACTTGTACAATGTACCATTCATTTAAATCTGCTTTAAAAATTATACTTCACAGTTTTCATCGCTCAGTTGAGTAATAATTACTTTGAAATCCCTAAAACCCAGCAGGGCTCAGTGAACCCAAAACGTGAATAAATAAAAATTAAAAGTGAACGATCACGGCAATTATTACATCTGTGCTATAATTACACAACACTTAATATCTAAAATACAACAAGTAAAAATAAAATAATATAATACGATTTGATATTATTATATTTTAATCTTAATGATATCCCAAGAAATGATTATTCTTATACAACGAAATATTAACTAATAGGTTAATGTATGTGGGTTCTATTAGTCTTCCAGTCTCCAAGTGCTATAAGAAATATTTATGATGTACTGTCTCTCCTTTAAAGGAAAAAATAACCCTTTTATGATGTGTAAATGATAAAATGTCTTAAAGGCGTCTATAGAATGACGATAAACGAAGAAGAAAACACAATTATATAAATAATCATTTTAGATTAATTTTAGTGTCGTATTTACAGGGGGTGGTCAAGGAGATATACGCCCCCCAGGGTGCTAATGTTATAGGTAAACCTACTGATCTATTTGTTTAACAGAAAACGATTCTAGTATGCAAAGAAGTTTTGATGAAATTTCACCAAAAATTATTATATTGTTATAATATTAGGTAAAGTACCATAATATGTTTGTACCAAAAAAGTAGAAACTTAATTTGGCATCTTCCCTAACACAATTTATGAATATATACTTATACATATGGCTTAAAGATTAAAGTATTGTTCACCTTTTTTGGCCTCTATTTCGTTGACTTTCTAATATCTGACAATTGGGTCACTCCAGAAAAAAATACAATAAAAAGCTTATATATTTGCAACTACACGGTTATGTTCAACGATGCATCGCACAAAAATTGCACACCAGTTGTGTACACAACAATTTCTTTTAAAAACACTATCACGTATGCTAAAATGTAGTGCGCTATTAGCAAAAACCATTTATTTCAATCAGTTTACAATACATATGGACCGGGTATAATTTTTCTAAGTGTTTCGTATAGTATTCATAAATCATATTAACACGTATAACACGATGATGTTTATTTATTTTATTGCGCTCATCGTCTTAAGGTCAAATCCAGGTACGTTAAATCAAATTACTGGATGCTATAAGTCGAGTCGTAAGTAAACTGTACAAATTCGTTTGCAAAATCTGTTTTATTTTTTAGCATTTGCTTGTCCTACCGGGCAAGCATCGTCTTCGTCGAATCCGACCGGTTGCGAGCAAATAAATCACACTGACTTATTCGTCAACGATATTGGCCATTTGTTACTAAACAAAAAGTAGGTGTTTAATTCGACATTTTATTACATAAATATATATAATATTCAATCAGATGTAAAAGAAAGTTTTCTTAAGTATTCTTTTCTTATTGATTAGGTGTATTATTTATTTAAAATACGAAAAACGCATTTTATAAAATACTTAAGAATATTTATCAAATATAAATTACTTCAAAAAACACAACGTGTACAATGTAAAACATAATATATTATAACCTTAAAAAATGTGTTCGACATCTCGTTGTCTTGTGTTTGTCATCGTTATCACTCCAAACTCGTCTTTTTTATAAACATAGGTTTAAAACATAGATAAACATAGGTATAGCTAAATATACAAAAACCAATAAATTAACAAATCAAAACATTTTCAAACAACAAAGTACAAATTATTTATTAAAAAAAAAAACATATATTTTAACAAAATAAAAATATATAAACTATTATATTATGCAATCATTCCACCAGGCAGGCATTTTAATTACTCTATTTTGCCTAATCTTTATATTTTCTGTATTTCCAGTCATATCTTTCCTTTCAATGTTCTTTTTTTCTATAGGCTGAGCCTTAAATATATACCCACACTCTTCACTACCATCCCATTACTTTGACTGTGTTTAGGACTTATACAAAGATTCCTAATGTCATTACTTGTACAAAATGCTTTAAACTCATACAAGGTATACGGTACATTATCAGATATAATCTCATTTGGCTTTTTAAAACTACCACTATACAAGGATTTCCTACTAACTCATGGGATAATAAAGGTTGTTTTACATTAGCCCTTTCATACTTATTACAAGATTCACACTCAAAAATACAATTTTTGAAATCATTTGCCATATATGGCCAGTATACAACTTGTTTTACCTTTGTAATGTTTTTATCAATTACACAACATATGATCTGCATGCAACTTTGTCATGAACTCTTTTCTCAACGTTTTAAGAACTGCAATACAGTTGTTAAAGATATTAACCCATCACAAACATTAATAAACTCTTTTTGCTTAACACATTTTCCTAATTCAGAATTATCTATAAAATCAGTTAAATGAGTCTCCCACCCATAATCATATAATCATTCTGTTTTCATCAATATTCAATCTACTTAAATAATGTAATGGTAAAACATTTATATCAGAACCAGAGTTCCACTTAAAATTAAATATCAACGTTATTAATACATATTTTTTTTTCATTTGGTATTAACATTACTGACAATAGTATCAATTACAAATATTTCATTTACATTGTTAGTACTATTACTATTATATATGAATCTTACCATTTCTACAGCTAAATTAAAAATGCTTTACAATGGTCAACTATCTTGTCGAGACAAATGTCTGGTGTTCTGAGCGATCTTTCTTGTAACTTAGTATCATTCACACCAAGTACAATTCTCACTTAATGCAAGTTATCTACTTGATTAACAAACTCACATTACTTTGCCATTTTTTTAAATTCGACGAAAAACTTATCAAATGACTCTCCTTCATTTTGGTGTTGTTTAAAAAATTTAAATTGTTCAGCAATAACCCTTTTTTTTGGATCAACATACTTCTGTAATTCTTCAAATATTTTTTCAACCGTTCTATTAACCAGATTAAACGCTTTTAAAACATAAAATATTATAACCTTAAAAAATGTGTTCGACATCTCGTTATCTCATGATTGTCGTTATCGCTTCAAACAGGAATGGTGATTTGTAATAAATAATTATTAAGAGCATTACATTTTATTTATAATTGACAACATTACGTTTGTGTCGAAAGTGATAACAACATAATAAGATAACCAGGTAATAGTGTATTATTTACTAGGAAATTAAAATAATACTCATAAGCAAAACATACTGGACATAAAATATAATATTATCACATATCAAACAAAGAAAGTAATGAAACAAAAAATGTTAATGACAAAACAAGATAGAAATAAAAATACAGGTATTCAAATCATACAAATGATCCAAAATCAACATATATATCTCACAATTTTTTTTTATATTCCTATCATGACTTTTTACTATCTCATGAGGTTTAAGAGCTATAGGAGAATTTGAAAAATTAGTTTCCTTACTGCAATTATCATCTAACGACATCATTATTTTTCAACGCAGTTTGATAAAATGTTTTCCATTTCTCCTATACCATTGTCCATTTTCAGCTTGTATTTGATAAGACCTAGGTTGTTTAACCATCCTTGGTGACCAGTTACTATATAAATTATTGTAAATGTCAACCTACTTCTTATCAAAGTTTTCCCTATCGATATTATTTTCCTTTTAATAATTTTTGTAGCAAAAGCAGTTTATAACTAAAATTATTATTTGATTTGCTCTGTATTATTTTTAAAGATAAAATATTATACATACATCATTATTTATTTATATTATTCATAAGTGTATTAATAATGTATATAAATATTTATTTTAGATTTTCGGATGTTGTTTTACAAGTAGGAAATGAAGAATTGCACGCCCATCGTGTTGTGCTAGCCTCACGCAGTAATTATTTCAGGTAAAAAAATATTATTATTTAGTATATTATTCTCTTAGTAACAATGATACAATAGTAAGTATAAAAAATATAAATTTTTTTAATTCATTTTTTTAAATAGTTTTGCTATTATTTTTTTCGGTATTAACAATTTTCTAATTAACTAGCTAAATGTTTAAAAAAACGGTGGCATTGGGTGCCTTAAGATTTGTATTGATTTGTAAATGTTATACAAAAAAACATATACATGTTAGTTTACTTACTAATTACAGTTACACTGTAACTTTTTTAATACTGAACTAATTCCTTCAAGTAGCAACTCTATAAATCACAAATTTCATCTAGTTGGTACTTTGGGGGAGGGGGGTAAAAGTTGAAAAAGTTTTCTTCTTTACATTCAATTTTTTTTTTTGTTAACTACAAACACGGTGTACCAGATGTGAGAAACGAACAGACGCAAAAATAAGAGAACTGTTGTTTTTTGGATCCAGATTAAGTGTTGGTTTTTATGCAGTATACCACCCCAAAATGTATTTCATATTACACAATTTTTTTAAAGGATCACTAATGTTTTACATATTGTTATACTGTTGTTCATTTAAAGAGATTCACGCTAATTTTTTATATTATTTAATATTAAATAATCTGCTCTATGATGCTATGATCTAAGCAACTTAAATTAAACGAGAGCAAATTTTAATTGACTTTTAGTATAAAAACCCAATTCTTGTATCCCATGCGCTGTGCTTTACTGGTTGTAGTGAACATAATGTATTTTTTAATAATAATGTGTATATTTTTAAGCTCATTACTGTATGGAGAATATCAAGATGCCCAAAAAAGTAAAGTGCCAATAAATGAAGGATCAGCCGCCTCAGTTAAAGTACTTCTTCAATATATTTATTTTGGTCGAATTGATTTAAGTATTCTCGAGGTAACAATTATCGACTTAGGTATTCGGTATTACCTATTATTGCTTGTGTTTTATGTATTTAATGTAAAAAACAATAAATATTACTCGGAATACGATTATTTAAATACACATATTATGTAATTTTGTGTTTTATAGAGTAAAGTTATATCGGATCTATTAATTCTCTCGAATGTATATCGTTTTACAAACTTACAACTCTCACTGTGCGAATATTTGATAAAGAAAATCGATGTACACAACGTAAGCTCGTTGTTTACTATGGCATTTTATTATCAAATCAAAGAACTCGAAGTCGAATCATTTAATTTTATCGTCATCCACACATTGGACGTATTGCAATCTGACGATTCTCTCTCTTTGACGCCCGTAATAAAATTGTATAGTAAAAATACAATATTTCTCGTGTTAGGTAGTCAGTTGAGACAGATTATTTTTATTTTTAGGAATCATTACTACGTATTCTCAATCGTGACACGGTGTATGCCAACGAATTTGATATATTCCGTGCGGTTTGTCGCTGGATAAAAAAAAAACAAAACGTACTAGCTCCTGATGCTAAAACCAAAATTTTATCTGCAGTCAGATATCAGCTTATGGATAATGAAGAACTGTCCGAAGTTAGGCGATCAGAGCTGGTTCGTTCAGATACAATCGTTTTGGATGTTATAAATGACTCCGTCACACAAACATTAAATGACCGAGGACGGCTAGGTGTGGTTAATGCAATTATTTGTTTAGCAATTTCTGTTAGTATTAACTACTTTATTCTTTAGAACCTAACGTTAATTTTGCTGAATATCCTTCCAAAACGCTTTCTCAAATTGATGGCGGTACCATGCTGAGGTTGGCTCTTCCATCGAATATAAACTATATTGAAATGAAGTTAAGGAACGAACAAGCAATGTATGGTTTTACTTATCAATATTTCTAATTATCTATTATCATACAGTAATAATAATATAGATTTGTCGAGAATTTAATTTATTCACAATGAAAATATAAATTTTTTATCCTTATATTTAAACATTTGTTTGTTCACCAAATAATTTTGAAATAATTGCTTCAACTTATTTGATACTTTAGGCATTACTCTTATTATATTGAAGTATCCACGGGTAAGAACGATTGGTTGCGTGTTGTTGATCATTCAAATTATCATTGTCGGTCAATTCAACGTTTGTGGATTAACCGAATACTTGTCCGATACATTCGAATTGTTGGCATCAATAATGATAGTATTAATACTTTTGACTTTTTGAAAGTCATGTACAATACAGAACTAATGCACTTGGTGAAAATCAAAAACGGATTAGTAGGTACGGATACCAAGAAAGTAACTCGTTCTTTGAATAATATAAAAAAACATATTAATTGTCTATTTGACTGATTTTATTCTTTTAGCTCCAAAGTACAATGTTGCCTTATCATCTATGGATGCAACTGTAATCGAAGGAAAATGGTTGAGGACCAACCTTTTGAATGGCGACTTTAAAAATTACGATGAGAATCGCAATTATACATATCATACCCTGAACATGGATTGTATAAAGGTTCAACTTGCCCAACCGTATATGCTTAGTTCAATAAAGTAATTGTTTACATGACATTTATTTTTTACTTAGGTTTCTATTATTTAATATTTATACTATTTGCGCCTTATTAAACCAAATATTAACATTATATTATTATTGTCATAATTTTTAGGATGCTGCTTTGGGATTGTGATCACCGAACCTACGGATTCGATGTTGCATCGTCGGTCAATAATATTGATTGGGAAGAGATTACACCTAAATATTATGATACGCGCCGATCGTGGCAGTTGTTTAAATTTGAACTCAGACCGATAGTGTATATACGTATAACTGGCTATTTTTCTTTAATGAATGACAGGGTAATATTAGTATTCTAAGGGTGTTTTGTAAATTATTAAAAACTCTTTTTTTTTTGTAGTTATTAAAAATTGTACATTTGGAGGCACCTGCTCAAGTATCGCTGGAAGAGCGGAGGTCGAAATCGCAGGTTTCCAGTCGTAATAAATAGCGCCACCGTTCGCCCGAAGGCTGACTTCTACGTGGAACTAATAGGGTCTTTTACATATTATTATTATTATTGGTGACTGTCATTATTAATGCTTAATAAATGTGGTTTATAACAATAAATTTAATGTTCACACATGACTAAATTGAATTATTAATAAAACCTAGTGTGAAATTGAGTGGTTCACGATAAGTGGACCACTCTGTATTAGTCTTTTAGCTTCCAAGTACCATATTACATATTCACGATACACTGTTTTTCCTTTAAGGGAAAAAATAACCCTTCTTAGAAGTGCAAATGGTAAATTGTCTTAAAGGCATATATAGAATGATCGATAAAGGGGAAAACTCATACATATAAATAATTATTATAGATTTAAATAAGTGTCGTAAATATAGGGGGTGATCAGAGTGATATATCACCCCCCAAGTGTCCTAATTTTTCGTATAACAACATTATAATATATTAGGTAAATAGAAAACTCATCTAGTATTCAAAGTTCTAATGACCAACACTAAAATAATAATTTCATTATAATATTAGATAGAGTATTATTATATGTTTATAACAAAATTATAGCAACTTAATTTGGTATCTTCCCCTAACGAACACGATATATGAATATATATATTTTTAGATCGCTTAAGAAAAAAACATAATTCACCTCTTTTAGCCCCCGTTTTGTTTAATTTCTGAAAAACAAAATGTCCATAGGGTTGCACGAGAAAACAATACAATAAAAAGCTAGAATATAAATTAATTTAGCAGGTACCTTGCCTATACATTTGCTACTGCACGATCAGTGTACATACGTTTTACTGCCGTTCGCACTTCAAAAAACGACGGAGTAATACAATTATATTAAGAGTGTTATTTAAATTATTGTAACGGTTTTTTTTGTAGTATTTTAAAGGTATATTTTTGGAGGCACCTGCTCTCGGATGACCTTCTACAAGGAACTAATAGGGTTTTTTACATATTATAATTATAAGTTACTTTCATTTGTATTGCTTACTTCAATATAAAAATCGTGTATTACAACTACAACTATATTGTAAGTATTGATTTTTGTACCCACCCTATGTTTTTGTACTACACGATGGACTTGAAAGATTTACTTCCTCATCATTTCGTAAAAGCGACCATTTATTTGGCTTCTAATTTTTGGTAAATCATAAACGCATATTTTGAGTTGACTACCAACAATTATATCTTTGAAACTAATAACCTTTAATAACTTTTAATAACATGTGGTTCTTAAAATACACTTTTTAAGCAAAATGTAAAATGTTTGTGAAATTCATCTTATAATATGGCCCGACCACTGTATTCTTTGTCCTCTAATGTAACTAGTGACTGGTGCTAAGCCTATTTCTTCCTGAAGTTCCTTGTTAAACTTTCTTCTCCATTAATTTGTCCTTGTGTTACGAACTATTCCGCATATCACCCTCCATATTTTGTTTTCGAAAGTTCTAAGTCGTCTTACATTCACACTTGTCGTTTTCCATGATTCACATCCATAAGTGAGAGTAGGTCTAATTATTGTCGTGCACAATCTTAAATATGTTTTCTTAAAGAGAACTTTGGACTTGAGGAATTTGGATAGTGCAAAGGATGCTATATCTGTCTTTGCTATCCTCACACTAATCTCACGTGACCAATCATTCTTTGTTCTGAGCAGTACTCCTAAATATTGAAACGCTTCAACTTTTTCAAAAGCTTTTGAATCCAGGTCGTCTTGGTATGACTCTCCGTCGAGAATCTTTAAATTTTTAGTTTTTCCATATAAATACGTAACCCTACATTTGCTTTGGCACTTTTGTGAGTTGTGATTAATCCTAAGGCAGCCTCCAGTGATTCACTAAGAAAGTTCAGATCATCCGCGAATCCTAGCATCTGTACTTGGTGATCATTGACCGCTATCCCAGTTGCTTCTGTTTGCAATTTTCTCACTGCTTTTTCTAGCGCTGAGTTAAATTGTAGCGGAGATAGCGCGTCGCCATGTTTTAAGCCAGTGGCTACTGTGAAAGCCTCAGATAATATGCTGTTTACTCTTACCTGGTACTTTGTTCTACCATGCACACTTTGGTAAGTATCACAAGCTTATTAGGTATTCCAAATTCTTCCAAAATATTGTACAGACTCTCTCTGTGTATGCTATCATACGTTTTTTTTAAGTCCACAAATATCTGCCAAACAATTTGCCGTTAATCATATTTTTTCTCAATCATTTGTCCGATTATCTGGATTTGTTCCACCGTTGTCTTCCCTTTGCGGATACCGCATTGATATTCACTTAGGTCTTTTCTGCGTATAGTATTAACCCACTCAATACCTCCTTAAAAAAACACTTTATACGCCGTATTTAATAAGGATGTACCTCTGTAGTTACAGCAAGCTATTTTGTCACCCTTTTTGTGCAGGGTTATGAATATGGCTTCTTTCCAACCACTTGACATCTGTTCTTCATGCCAAGTCTTCCGACAGACTTAAAATAGGAAACACCGTATTTCTTTTCCACAATATTTTATCACCTCTGCTTGAATATTTCCTGATTCGGGTGCTTTACAACTCTTGAGACTGCCTATTGCTCTACCAATTTCTCACTGAGTTATTTCACCTATTAAAGGTTCAGCTTTTTGATATATTGTTTTTTCCACGGGGTTTGCTGGTATATCACTATTGAGAAATTCTATAAAATGTTCTGTCCATATTTAAGCCTTTTTCTCGGGTTCCATAAGAACAGATCCTTTTGTATTTTTTATCGCTTTTAGGCTTGGGTTCAATTGCTGATGTTTCTTGATAATACTGAAAAAAATCCATGAATTGCCTTGTAAACGGTTTCTTTCTGTTTCCTCCCATAATCCATTTAAGAAGTTCCGCTTTTCCCTTTGTAAAATATGTCTGACACTTCTCCGTTCCTTTCGTATACCCCTATTGCGTTTTGATCTTGCAGCACCAGATAATTATCACTAGACAGTTTTCGCTTTTCAACTGCTTTACTTCATTAAACCATTTATTATTATTATTTTTTATAAGACCAATATCTTTTTCTGCAATTTCCTTTGGAAGTTTACTGGCCCTAGTCCAGTCCGATACTATGTCATGTAAATTAATGTCTTTGAAGTTTGTACTCATTTTTTCCATGAACTTCTGTTGGATTTCTGGGTCTTTAAGTGCCTCTATATTGATATTGGCCTTACTTTTTTCTTTTAGATTTTTATAAACTAGTAAACTAATTCTTAAAGTTGCTATTACCAGCAAATGGTCTGTATCACAATCGGCATCCCTAAAACTTCTTACGTCCATGATGCAGAATCTGAAGCGCTTTTGTATCAGCTCATGGTAAATTTGGTTAGTCTTGCCATCTGGTGATTTTTAAGTTACCTTGTGTATTCTTTTGTGTGAGAACTTGTACTACTTATAACCATGTCCTTGCTAAATAATTTCAAGTCGTATTCTTAAAATCTACCTTCCGATTTCTGTGTCAAAAAGTAAAACCCTTTCTATGTATGCGAGGCATATTTTGCGACAGTAACATAACAATAGGTGTATTCTAAGACAGGGTTTTCAGTCCTGTGCTAACCTTGAGGACTAGACCCCATCAAACATTTTAGGCCAGCGAGGGGCTATTGCAATGTACACAATGTACATTGGGAGAAACTATTCGCTAAGCCCATAACACTCAATGTTCTCCTGAGGGTTTCGGTAAATTAAAATTTGTATAATCTTAATTCAGTAGTATGACACACTGGTGAAATATCTAGATTTCAATGGATATAAAATAATTAAATGTTTAAAAAAGATTTAAACCACAAAAAATAAAACATTTTTACGTATTATTGTGTTTTGTAAGCAGAATAAAGACTCTTATAGTGATTTGTTAAATATTAAAAAAAATTGTATATAAATGCTGTACAAATTGCAAAATATTAAAATGATTACAATCTTTTTTGGCCTCCATTTCGTTGACTTTAATAAAACATATATTCCATTTCAATCCGACAACAGGATAACACAAAAAAAAAAACACAACCATAAGCTAGAATGTTTGTTGATCGATGCAATTTATTCAAGCGTCGCTCAAAAAACGTGCAACAGTGTGTACTCAATTAGTGGTTTAAAGACTATGTTGTCAAGTATGCAAAAAAATAGTGCGCTATTTAAATAAAATAATAAATTTCAGTCAGCTTTCAATACCTATGGACGGTGTAGTGTTTTTTATAGTATTCATATTTCAAATTAACACGTATAACACGATGATGTTTGTTTATTTGATTGCTTTCATCGTTTTAGGGTCAACTCCAGGTAAGTAATCTACTTCATATATGTCTACATAAATAATTATCTTTTTATAAACGAAGTATAGAATCTTTAAGCGATAAGCTCTGAACACAATTATGAAAATAATCGTATTTTACGGTATTTGCTATTCGCTCATATAAGCTGGCCCAATACGTTTTTACTTATGCTTATGCAAACATTATAATGTCTAAGATAAGCTCTAAAAAAACTTTGTGGAAGATAATTTGATATTTTTCAACAAGTATATCGTTATGATTTTAGGCTCCATTCTTAAGTTTTTATTAAGCGCAAAAATTGTTTAATTTATTACAATTATAAGACAATACTGCACTCGAGCAATAAAAGCATCATTATTTTTTTATTCAAAATACTAAAAAACTAAACACAATTTTTATAAACATATGTTAAATCAAATAGCTGGATGCTAGTTCATGTCGTAAATAAACTATACGAACTCGTTTGTAAAATCAGTTTTATTGTTTTAGTATTTACTGTTCCTACCGATTATGCATCGTGTTCGTCCAAACCGGCCGGTTATGAGCAAATCGATCACACTCACTTCTTGGTCAACGACATTAGCGGTCTCTATCTAAATAAAAAGTATGTGTTATATGACGACATTTTGTAATATACATCATGTAAGATTCGTAAAGATAAAAACGACCGGTAGTTTTTAATTATTAAGAACATTACATTTTTTTTGTT